AGCACTATAAAAACAAAATGTGTCACTATATTTCATAATACAGTAACACTCCAGGGCTGGGAAGAAACCTAAAGCACAAGGAAACAGATAATTTCACTGAAAATGCAGTCACTCACTGGAATAACAGTGTGAAATCAGCTTGCAGGGAAATGGTTGGGTATGAACTCAGAAAAACAAATAGGTTCAGGGATATTTTCTTAAATTCTATATTAAATGTTAAAGAACGACTATTCTATTCCGACCCAGAGAGATGGTATTTTTGTGGGAGGGATATATATTTATATTTTTACACTATCTGCATTTTTCCAGCTATCTCTGGCTTTAAACCTTTGTTCTGAAGGTTCATCATTGCTCTGAAACATGAAAACGGTTACCTTCTTGAAAGCTGCTGTAAAAGCTGATGTGAGAGGTTGGTAAGCAAATGGTATGAATATGGTGATCTGAAATGAACTGGAAGAAAAAAAAAGAAATGGCCATGTCAAGGAATATTGTATTTGAAAAGTATACATCTTTATTTTAAAATAAAAATATATGAAATTAAAAATAGCTAAATAAAGTTAATATAACTAGAAGAATTACATCTGTCATTTTAGTACTGGGATATCACAATTGGCGCTGTATTTTAAAAGATGAAAAAAGTCTAGCTGTTAAGCAACAGAAGGATGCTATGGGAAAAATTAATGTCTCACACTCATTATCTTCCAGTTATGCCAGGAATGCTGTGACTGAATGAACTTGCTTATAATCACTTATACTCTAGGCCCCAATTATAGCTAAGAGTATTGGTTCGATATTCCCTGAAAGCTGAAATTATATTTCTTAGGTCTCTCTGCATCTGCCTTCTGCTCCCTGTAAATGCATAGCTTTTAGATTCTCTCTGAAGCATCTTGAAGAACTTCTACCATAATATCTCTCATTTTTTTGCAAAAATAAATATGATTTATGAAAATAAGACTAATATTGAGGAGCAAGATTTGAAAAGGTTTTACTACATACACATAATTTTTTACCAGTAAATATGAAATGTAGCTACCCAAATTGTTTGGATGCATAAATCTTTGAAAACAAGGTGAGTTTTAAAGTCTGTAGCACATTTTGGTGTTTGGTTTGCACTGGGTGATCCTGTGGGTCTTTTTCCTTGGTGATTCTATGATTCTATGATTTTAAGGATCTATAATTTTTATGAACATGAATGTCTGAATTTCCACTTTTAAAAGTAACTTCAGCACAGTTCAGGTTTCAATGATCTAAGCAGCTAAAGCTCTCAGGGAAACAACTGTGGTATTCCTATTAACCTAGTCTTACTTAAAAGCATTAGCTTATAATTTATAAAATGCTACAGAAATTTTTTTACAACACATCTTCCCATTCTCTTTATCTGAAAGCACCATTACTTCAGTACTAGTGGATCATAGAAAAGCTTCTCTGCTGGGATTCTGTGCTTGACAAAAGAAATAGCAATGCTGATAGATCCTATCTTAAACTAGTAGAAATCTCAAACATACAGTTAAGGGTTTAACCAGGGCTGAGAGCTTCATACCCTTCCCCACCTATAAGATTTATTACAATTTGGAACCATTTTGGATTAAATGTGACTACCTTCAGGATAACTGTTACACAGTCTGATCTGAAATGTCAAAGGCTGAGACACTCTATGCTCCAGACCAAAATTAAGGACAGTATGAAAACCATACGCTCTTAAACCTGGGATGCCTGAAAGTGGTTGCAAAGGTTTTTGACTGTGGTAGATGCAATGTTTTTTTCCTCCATGCTTGAGTTTTTTCGCAGTCATGCTGCATTGTGCAATTAAGTATCATTCCACTCAGATGCAGAATTGATATGTTGATAAAGAAACTTGACTGAACCTGAAATATGACTTAGTGGTGGCCTATTTTTTGTGTTCATGCTGAGATGGTGGAAAAGTAAGGAGAGTCAAAGGACTTAGTGTAATGAACTTGGCAAAATAATTTGGTTCTTTTTACTTGTGCAGTGTGAAGCATTACAAGCTAACGCATGAATATTTGGGTAAAATAAGGACTTTGAATGTCATAAAACTGTAAATTGGAAAACAATTAACTTGCTGATGAGAATGATCACAGAAGGTTTTAGCTTAGTGCTGTTGTTTTGTTGTAATGGTCTTCACACTATTTACACTGCTAGCACACTAAAATCTATGCTATTCGCTACGGAAAATAAATATTTGACACTCATAACTAGAAGCAAGTATATATATTAGTACTTTTTACATAAATATTGGACACTCAGTCACGGGAGACAAGGCTTTTCCTGTGAAATTCATGCATTCGTGTCTTGTCACACAAGCCAAGATATCACTGCATTGTGTCAATGCCTTGGTCTCCATAAAGGATAGCCATATTTCACATTTGTTTTTTTTATTACTAGTTGATTTTTTCTTCTGTGTTACTTTATTTGTATTTCCATGTCTCATAAGAACAAAGAGAAGCCATCAGTTTTAATATTCCCTTCAGAAGCTGGTATTCATCAAGCCCATTGATGGTTCATTTGATCAGTCAATAAATTGAATAAAAAATTGAAAACAACAGTACTAAAATTACAGTAGTATATTATGAATAGAGAACATACATACACTATAGTACTCTTTACCTACGCTTGTCAGTGTTTTATGTCACAGACAATGCTTTAGTCTTTCAGAATTTCCTGAAGCTTTTCCCTTTTGGGATTCTTCAAAGATTTAATTAAATATAAATGTTATTTCTTATGTTCACTAAAAAATAACTATGCTATTTCTGAGCACAAATGCAATAGAAAAAAAGCATAAAACTCATAAAATATTTTCTCACTGTAAATGCCTGCAGCATTTTTTAACAGCTCCAGCCTTTTGTCTGCTTGTGGCTGATGGCTGTCATTTACCATGGGAACAGTTCTCATCCACACATGTATCAGGTGAAAGTTGTTCTGCTCAAAACAGTCTGTCAAGTGCAGGTGTTCTTCTGGGGCACAACAAAGTGGGAGATGATAGCATGTGGGCAAAAAAATTATGCTTTTATAGTATCCTGCTTAACACATTCAAAACTGGTTGATGGCTTGAAGAGGAAGGGCAGCACCCACTGAACAACATTACAAGATGCATGCTGTCCCCTCCCCACATGTTCCTGATGTGTTTGTATCAAAGAGGAGAACAATTTGAAGAAAATTATGATTTGAGAAATTAGCTTGCATTCTACTGCAATTGTTTCAGTTTGAAGGACAATCCTCTCCAATAACACCCCTATCTTCTGCTAAAATGATTTTTAATTTCTGACATATTTTGCATGTAGTCTTGGTCCATAGCATTACCACCTAAATTGCTGTCTGAATCTGTTCTTCAGAATTAATCTGTGAAGACAATTTTTGGAGCAGAAGGAAAAAGAATGTGATGAGCCTTACATTGGACCCATTTTTTTTTACTTACTACACTTGTCTAAGTCCTACCAGCTCACTGAAATGTAGGTGTCAAATTAGGAAAAAAAAAATTATTTCTTATACTCTTTTTATAGTTTTAGAAAGGAGATGCAAACAGATGTCACTCGTTATCCACTCTTTCAAACAGCAAAATCTCCATGTACTTGTGCACACCTGATCCCTTCCCTACATATACACTGCTCTTATTTCCCTCCTATCCCTTTCTTCTCACCTGTTTGGTGACTCCCCATAAGAATGGAACACGACAACGAGTATTAAAAGGAAAAAGAAATAAAACACCTGTGAATAGATGTATAATGCAGATATGTAATAATGTGAATGTAAAGTCCTATATCATTTCAGTCATATAATATAATCTAGCATATGGCTCAATTTTGTGCTAACAAGCACTACATTCAGCCCCTCGTTACAGTGGTCACAGAAATCAACAATTTTAACTGTCCTTCAGTTAAACCTTCTCCCTGTATGCTCTGTTCTCCTCTTGGGTATTTTGCATGGCAAATAAATACTTGGAAGAAAAGCTAGAGCTATTTTCATTTCCTTCACAAAGCTAAGGAAAGCAGTAGGAAAAAAAGAATCTGGCCTTTCATGTTTTATTGACGTCTGTATTCCAGTTAATTGTCAGAAACTTCACTGCTGCAGTAGATACTTAAGAAGCTTTTCAGTTCTGCTCCATAAGACAGGATGTGGTGATGTGGTGGATCACTATTCATGCCACAGACATTTAATCCAGAGCAGTGTACAAATCATCTGCACTACACCACTGACATACTTAAAACATAAGCTTCAGTAAAAGCATTTGAATCCTCAAAACCTGCCAGGGCCCTCTGAAAGCTTGGTGATGAAGAGCACACGTTACGTAATGCAGTGTCAAAGAGCTACTAGAAGGACATCCAGGTGAGTCCAACAGCTGTGTTGCATTTGGGCAAGAAAGTATAATGATTCCTGGCAATTTAATGTAGGAACTTTCCTTCTGTACCCAAATGTGGGAATGCTTTCAATGCTGATCAGTGTACTGAAGCAACTGGAAAATCAAGAAGTCTGTCAGCAATATTGAACATTATATCTCCAGCTATAGATGATCTCCAATGCTGCAATAATAAACCTCAAAACTGAAGCCAAATAATTCATCAGAGTAACAAAAAAAACCTCTTCCTAGGCCTGACAGAAAATCAGCATGGGCCCTTCTTTCTTAACAGAATGCATATTTATATATAGGGTACTGAGAGTACTGAGGACATCACCAAAAATTGACCCTGATCCATACATGCTCAGAAATGCTAAATTTCAATGATATTTTTATAAGTTCAGTGGTAAAGTTTCATGGTTTGGCAGACTGTAATAGTAATTTTGATTGATAAATAGTCAATATAATGTCTCTAATTAAAGAAGAGTGGAGAATAGTGACTGGGACAATTCTATCTTGCTATTTAACCCCCTTGATGCTTCACTTAGATCTTTTTAAAGGTCGGAGTTATTAACTGTGTGGAAAGGGCAGTGAGTTAAGAAACAATTGTGGCTTCTCAAAGGTAGATTAAATGAGACAGAATTAGCAGTGTTTGAGCAAGTTCTTTATTTGGCAAGGGTAGAATCATTGTTACAGAATAAATTATTTGCCATAGTGCTCTATTATGAGGATTCAGACAACAATTTGAGAAGAAATTGACTGAAGTGAAGATGTTATAGACTAATAGTGTAAAGTTATTAAAGTGAAGAGAAAGGCTAGAACTCTATTCCTCACGAGCAATTCAAGTTTGTAACTGGAAAGATCATGTACTCTTTGCATTTTCTGATAACACATGTGGAGAGCTATCATCAATAGACAGAAGAAGAAGATATTTTTCTGAAAAAATAGAATGTCTTTGAGAACTGATGTAACAGAAAGGAGCTGAAATCAATAGGAAAGGACTTATCATGCATTTAGAAATTAATAATAAGTAACTCTAAGAACTCAACTCTTAAAAATAGCTGGAGAAGGTAACAACCTTGGTATATTATGGCGATGAGCTATAAATTTGATACACGTTCTTAAAAATGGAAATCCTTTCATCGAAATATGTTCCATGTTATGCCACTGTAGACTAAAAACTCTATAGTTTGCTAGTTTCAGAGAGTCATGATCAAGAATAATTAAGTTTTTAAAAAAGATTTAGAGAAAAAAAAATGAGGTGAAAAGAGAAACTGGTAGATGAGAGAAAATATAACACTTATATGCCTAGAAAGGAAGGACATGATGCTTTACAGGAGGGAAATGTAGACACTTGTATGATTCAAGCATTTCTGGAGCTAGAGAAGGATTTTTCTTGGATCAAAATACTTAGTTAAGTGTTGCCAAACTTCTTCAAATCTCTTCAAATCTCATGTTAAATATTTAGCCCCTTTTCTTTTTGGATCCCACTGTCATGGCCTAGAGTGGCTGGCATGCATGAATCAATAATTCATCTCTGCCGCTGAAAGTGTGTGCAGAGGCAAAGAAAAGAATGGAGAACTCTTATCCTAGTTTGCTCACAAATCACTTTAATTCTACTAAAACAGTTAGCAGCATGTAGATTCAAAAGATAATCAAGACAGCAAATGATTTAATACAGATGAAACAAACTCAAGGAAATGTACGTGTAGTGGCTTGGGAAACTTAGCCTTGCAATTTCCCCGATTATTCAAGTGAATCTGTTTCTTCCCAGTACTGATCTACTGTACTAACCACATCAGATGTTGGTGGCAGTCTCCCTGGAATTAATACATTTCCTTAGTTTTATTTCCTCATTATTTATTTTTCATCCCTCATTCTATATTCTTCAGTTTAATTGCATTGTGGCAAACTTGTCTAGTTCCACTTCTTTCTGCAAAATGGAGTTGGTCCATTGCTCAAAACAGATCTATGGTACCTTCCTTAATTTTTGGAAATCCCATGGAGGAGAAAGATATTTGGATATTGGTCAGGTACTAGGTCCATAGAACAGTCATGGTTTTGTGTTTTTACATAGTAGACTGTGATTAGTACGTTTCCAAGGAGCTCATGAGATAACAACTTAAAAACCTCATAACCTTCATGAACTTGGTTTAAGGTACCTCAGACTAGTGCAGCTGTATTCACAGTAAACATATGAGGCAGCGCAACTGCTGTTTAACATAGGGATTGAAGAATGAAAACTGGGACTACAGATTGAACATAAATAGACCTTATTTTCTACTATAACCACTGCAATCTCAAATCCCCCTTCCATTACCACTTAATTAAAGATGCCAAAACCCTATCTATACTGCAGTTGGCAATACTACATCATTAAACTGTAGAATAATTTAAGTTGGACCACTGGAGGTCATGAAGTCCAAACTCAAATCAGGGTTATTTTCCAAGTTAGGTAAGGTTGTTCATTCAGTGCTTTGTCCAACTGAGTTTTTAAAATCTCCAGAGTTGGAAAGTACACAGAAACTCTAGGCAGCTTGGTTCAGAGCTTAACTGGTGTAAAACTTTTATTTATAAATCTCTAGCTGATGAAGTTTTGCCTCCTTGTATTTGATTTTGCTGAACTTCATGAAGTAGCTGGCAGTTTATTTTTCCTGTCAGTGAATGTCCTTTAGAAAGACTAACTTACTCTCCAATTTAACAGCCACTGCCCCCTCTTCCACCCCGCAAGCTTGATTTATTTGTAATTATCTATACCACTACTGAAGGTAATAACTGATAACTTGTACTGTCTCAGTACCAGTTCCTGAGGAATATATTTGCTAGCAGCCTGTTGGTTAGATTTTTGAAAAACTGACTCAGGACATATCAGTCCATCTAGCTTTCCACCTCCCTTTACTTCTCCTATCCAAAATACATCTGTCAAGTCTGATTAAAAGATCTTATTTAAAAGTGTGTATAAAGCCTTATAAAGTCAGTTAATCAGCTTTGCTCAGAGCCACTCATTTAATGATTAAAACATTCAGGCTGGTCAAGTAAAATTTGTCCCAGACTAAGTCATGCTGACTGTTCTCAATTACCTCATTCGTAGGAGTCTGTAAGACTCCATTTTTTTTTTTTTCATCAGTCAGGTTCCTCAGATATACCATGACTAGTTTTGTGCATTGCGTATGTCTACTTTATTAATTTTTCCTCACTATTCAAATAGGATAAGGCACCTGTCTTTATCCAAATTCCACTGCTAGGACTACTACAAGTTTTCCCATCTCCTTGATTTCTGCATTTATCTGTCCCTTTCAACAATGTTGTTTGTTTTTTTTTTTCCCATGTTTTTGTTGTTTGTGTTTCTTTTCTGCTGATGTACCTGCAGAAAACTTACATGTTGCCATTTACATCTTTCAATTTCAACTCCACCTTTGGCCTTCGCAATTTCTTCTCTTCATGATTGGGCAATGCTTTCATAATCAAAGGAAATTCAGACTCGCTTCTGGCTCCTGCACAGATCTTTGATTTTATTCTTTTTGTAGGCCCTAAGCTGATGAAAATCAGGTACTGTTCGTCATGTAGGCAGCTGGTGGAAATCTGTTTTCAGAGTCAGGAAATCACTGACTAGTATCTTCTCCCAGGCTGAAATGATGCTCCATCCATTTGTTCTCATTATTCCTGGCTTAGAAAATCTGGTTATTACTTTTTCTTCTTCTTCTCCTCTACATATTATTATACTGGAAAAACAAAAACAACAAAAACAACAACAAAAAAAAACACATCAGAAATGTACAGAGATAGTAGTGAACACATTGGAAGACTTTGGAAATACATTGATGTCAGCATATAAAGATAAACTAAAATGAATCAGAAGTTACTGATTCAGGTAGAATAAGATTCATCCAACAGGTAACATCGCTTTAGGAAGAAATGTCATCACTGAGATTTTATTAGTATATAATATAGTATATGCATTTATATTAGTATATAAATGACTACTTTTAAATATTTAGTCTGGAATTGATTTTAGAATGGATGCTGGAAGGTGCTTCACATAGTACAGTAACTCACAACCATGCTATGAAATAAAAATATTCCATGGTGAACAGCATAAGTCTGATACTATAGTTATCATGTCAGTAATGTGGCCATTAAGTTTTCATATTAACATTTATTATGGTGTCATTAGAACACTCTTCCTTTTTGATGCATCCAAGCTCTACTACAATATGTATTTGTTGACATCACATCTGTTTTAGGAGGCCAAATGATTACAAGTTACCACGGAAACTAATAAGCAGTATGCAAGGAATGGGTTGCACAATTGGTTTTGCTAGATAGCAAGTCATTGCTGTTTTAATTTCAATTAAATTGCATCCACTTCTCATGTCAGTAACATAAAAACAAACCATGTACCATTTCAAGAAGAATTCACATAGCTATATTCATTTAATAAATGGAAATCAACATATTTTTGCAGCTCATACAAATGGAAGTTATAGAGGAATGTAATTTGTTGGTGGTTTTGTGTACTTTTACGTATGAAATGGTGTATTTTATGAGTTTGCAGAAAACCTTTTCCATTAAGTCCACCAGCCTACATGAACACACCCTAGCATCTGAAGGAGTTATAAAAACTGGGTTATTTAAATTTGTTTTTGTAGTTTGGCTTGTCTACTCAATTTGATATAAATGCGTATGAAGTTATTGTTGCTGTGCTGCTCTATGGAAAGAAAAGTTTAGAGCAAAGCAAGTAAGTGGTGTTGAAACTGATTTAGATAAGAGGCTTTTGTAAAATGTATCACTCATCCCTAACTCCTGAGTAGATTACACTGATGAGCTGCACCAAGCCAAGAATGAAAATCAAATAGCTTAACTGTTTTGAAAGCAGATGATCCTCAATGAACCGTATCTTTTTGGGGCTTTAATTATCATTGTTGGAAATAATTGTTACTTACTGTGCAGAAAAAAAAATACGGATTATCTGTAGCCCTAAAGAGCATAAGTGGAGTAATATTTGGGTAATAGATTATTAATTTTTAAAGCATTATTGTACACAATTATTATCTTTTGTCATGTTTGGAGCCAGATTTGTTCATTGACAAATGACAGTTTTGTTCATTGAGTTGTACCACTGCTCCAAACCTTTGTCATGTTTGTAATCTTCCACTCTTCAGAAACCCACCAAAATATCTTCAAGGCAGCTGAAGAATGCAACAAATGCTGCTGCTGCATGCAGCATGGCAGAGCAGCATGGCAGGCTGGAAGGGTGCACTTCTGAGCCTCTAGGGAGACAGGGAGCCAAGGGGACATTCCTCCAGCTGGAAAAAAATGCCAGGGATTCAAGCAGATAATACAGCGAAGCACTGCCATTATGATGATGTGTTTGGTGGCTGTTATTTTCTTGCTTGCTGGATTTGTTGCCCAGTAACAGTAGGACTGCTTTCATTATAATGTTTCCTCATTGTTTCCTTATGCAGAGCAGACACATGTGTGCTATAACTAAGACCAGACCATCCCACAGCTTTTCTCATGTGTGTCATAAAAGGCCTATTCTTAACTGTTCATATTAGGAAAGCTGAAATGAAAGTAAAACATGAGTGTTCTTTTTTGATATGAGTAAGCTTCAAGATTGACTAGATAGCATACCCAATACCTGCATTAGAAGAGTCAGACAAAATTATATGAGTCTATAGAATCTCTGAAACTGTGAAGATGTGGGAGATCTACTGACAACATTTTTACCTTCTTTCTATTTTTGGATAGCATTTCTCCAAAACAATTATTTTCACTGATGTGTGTTGACCAGTTCTACAATGACATTCAAGGGCTGCCTGTGGCAAAATTAGATAAACAAAATATATAAACTATTGCTGAAAATGATGAGTTATTTGTTCCTTATCAGCAGCTAGTAATAATTACTGATAAAAATACACCATGGTAATTCAGACTACTGTTTATGTAAATAGTATTTTGTTTTCCCAATCATTCTGGCTGCACACATGCTAAAATTAACTTCTGATGATCATATTGCAAGCAACACAATAACAATTAGACACACAAATGTATCTCAGGTCTTGTGTCCAGACAAGGGATAAAAACATGGGCCAAAGCATAAGCATAGGGTGTCATAGAGCCAGTGTAAATGTAGCTCTGTACATCAAAGCAGTAATTGGTACATAGAATAATATTTAATGTTACATTTGGAACATGAATGTTTGGGAAAAAAATGCTCTGACAGGTTCCAAGTATACATACATGTATAAATATATATGTGCACGTATGTGTATATATACCATATAAAATTTTTCGTGAGAGAAAAATCTCTTGTATTAGTATGAGCGAAGCAGTGCAGCTGGCTATCAATGGATATCTGGATAAACTGAATAAAGTGGAAAGGAAAAAGTAGAAATGGTATGCTCAAAGTTGCATAGGTATAGCAGGGGAGGGGAAGCTTCATCAATACAAAGTATAACATGCCTCCTTCAAAACTGTAAACCTGCTGAAAATTAGCTGCAGAGAAAAATTAAAATATTCCTCTTTCAAGAGACTATTCAATACAACAATAAAATTTTTACTGGAATATGCAGTCACAAAACTTTTATTTTGCTTTTTTTAGAAAAATACTGAAAATGTAAACAGATGTTGGAATTATTTATCAAATATTATTCTACAATTCTGGAAGGAATGTTACAACCACACTTAATCTATCATATTATTTAGCAGTTGGCAACTCTGTCAACAGCAGGGGGGATTAGAACTTGGGGATCTTTGAGGTCTCTTCCAACCCAAGCCATCAGACATTCACACATATCAGCTTGGTGTGCTAGCTAGTATAATACACAAATGAACTAATATTATGAATGTATATACTGAATGATTTACAAATGTTGCACAGGTGTGAAAATCAGAAGACTGTTCCCTGATTCTCTGATAAAAAATGAGAAACTGTTGCAACAAATACAATTTTTTTGCATAATTAAAGAATTAAAGTTGAAGTAGATGAGACTGCAAACAACAAAAAATGACCAATTCTGTAGCATCTTAGTGTTTCTTTGTTGTAGTTTTTAATGGTATTAAAATTGCAATACATTCAGAAAACAAATATGAATAGACAAAACAGAAATAGATTCTCTTGAAGTATTAATCAAAGACAATAGTTACAGGATGATATGCTAGTCAATCAAACCTTAGACAAAGGAAGAGAACAGCATTATGTTTAGATTTAAATAAAGAAATTGAATTGTACAGTAACTCATACAACTATTTCTGGGTTTGAATAAGTAGAATCCAGTCCATAATTTTTCCCTGGGGAATAAAGATGAGAATTTCAAAGGATTTCTCCTAGCTAAATGCATTTTACATACATGCATAATGCAAAAGTATAAGCTGCAGGGAGAAATATTATGGTTATATACAAAGTTAAAATTATGTGACATTTAAAGTATATATTAGAATCCGCATACATGGAACAGTGAGCGTGTTTATTTCTTGGACTTGGATCAACAACAAATGCTTTCATGGCAGCTGTTTCACAGAAGTGCCTTAAGGGTCAAGTATGTGAGGGGTACGCCATGGTGTAGTCAAACTGTTCTCTAGCTGTCAAAACCACACACTGGTCAATTAAAAGGTAAAGAATATACAGAGGCAACTAAATGAAAATGGAAATGGCGATCAGAGGCATGAAACTCTTCAGTATGCAAAGAGAATGGGAATGGAAATCACATTAAGTGACTGGATTGGACAGTATTTGGAGCAGAACTGGTGATCTGCTCCACATGAGTTTCTACTGTACTTCCGGAAAAGTGATAAGGTCATGCTGAGGAGAATAAATGAAATATTCATGTTTTCCTAATGAGCATCGAGGGTTCCTCTATCTTCTGTTTGATATTATTCTGTTCAGGCTACTTGAAATTAAATCACAAGTGGGAAAGCCATGGGGAATAACAACGGTGAAGATAAGGTGATATCACAGACTGGCAGAAGCCTTTGAGAGCTGGCAGGGAAGCTATTATCCGACAGGCTAGTTACCAATGACAGGCCATGCTGGTAATGTTTACTCTGCCAGTCTGGAGCATAGGATAAAAAAGGATACTAAAATTTGAAATATTCTATATTTTACAGGATAGGACTGAAGGGTTTATAGCAGTTGCTGGTGTGGTGGTAGAAAATGATACATTCAGACATGCTGAAGGATGAAGACGAAAAGGCAGCAGGGTAGTTTGTTTTCTGTCCTTGAAGTTAGGGCAACTGCATCTCAAAACTCATGGAATATATTAACATTCAGGAAAAAACAAATACAACGTTAGATACCTAGGGCTAAACCTTTAAAGAGTGCAGATAAACTGAACTGGAAATTGCATTGTGGCATCAAAGAGACAACTTTGGGTTAACAGAACCTCACTCTGGACTCCAGAAGCAGTACTCACCCTGCACATGGATCCTTCACATCTACTGGGATATGCAAGATCAAAAGCTCTGTAAACCAAACCGAGGATGTAGAACCCTCTTCCCACTGCTATAGGCACAGGTTTGTTGCATCTAGCTGCTATTATTTCTCTGAATGTGAAGGAACAGAGACTTGGGAAACTGGTATGCACAAAGGAATGTACAAACAATTAGAACAAAATTGCTTAAGAAATATTATGCTGTCATGAAGTTATCCTGTATTTCCTTGAAACAGTGCTAGTTGTACATGCTGTCTTAAAGAGCATGTACAACTAACTCTTCCAGCTAAATTCATTAATATGTATTTGAGTGTCAGATTATTTTTAAATAATGAAAGGCTAGAGATAAATCACAACCATTAGTGAAGAAGGTGAGCTCTGGTGTGGACCATGCATTTGATCCTCACACATTACAAAGTTAATAATCTCTCTCAGAGTTTTCTACATTCAGCTTTATTAATCGAGACAAGGTTTACACGCAGTTGTGTCAGAATGAATAATTTAAAATCAAATCCCTGAAACAGAAGGAAAAGGATCAGTGCACTAGCTGGTTCTCATTGACCCTTGGAAAAAATATATTCAGTTTAAAATATACTTTGGTTTGAATTTCAATGCTTGTAAAAGGTTGAGATATACAGATTAAGACACTGACCTTTCCTTTTCTTCCTTAGGTGAAATAGAACACAAGCAATGTCCATGCAATCGTTCAGAAAAAAAAAAAAAAAAAAAAAAAAAAAGTGAAGAATACGAGTTATGAGTGTTTCAGTAATGTGAGGATAAAAGTCAACCTTGCGATTCTCTGAGAAGAGGTCATGTTTTGGACTTTGGTCAAACCATCCTGGGAGTTTTCTAAAAGAACCTGAATTACTCTTTTTGACAAACCTATTAAAATATGAAAAGCAGAGGAAGTCATCCAGTGCATACTGAAATTTATAGAGAATGGAATGCACTTTGACCCTGCCAATATGATTGAGAACTGAACAATATCCTCCCAAAATGACCTGCAGCAGAAAGAGCCTCAAAATAGTGTTTAATGAGGCTTTTCCAATACAGTACAGCAATAGCCCAATACTGGGACTTCATGTTGTGACTGCAGTGCTGGCAGCAAGAGTAAATTCCCAGGTCATCTCTCCAGCCTGATGTTCTGCCCAAGATATCAGTGATGCTTATCTCTATCTGACTTAATCTCGCACCTAGAGAGCAATCACAAAGGTTTCATGCCTGTTGATTTAAGTATTTAAATGACAGGTTTGCACCTCATTAGCCTAAAGGATTTGCCTTTTCTCTCCTTGCTTATGCCCTAAGAAAGATATGAAAAAGGCCAGAGTGGTAAGAAATCACATCCCGGATGTATTTTAACAGATTATAGATATCTGTGTCTTTATTGGGATCGTGTCTGGTTATGCCAGCATGCACTGTTATCTGTGAGTGAACAAAGCCCTGAAATAGTAAGCAAGAGAACATCCAGGTTCTGTATTGTGATTAAGCTTTTGGGAGTGAACTGCTTCAGTGTGCTTGGATTGATGCCTCCCAAAGTCAGAAACTGGGCTGTGGCTCTGGAGGGTCTCTGGAGGCAGGTTAAGATGCCTCTGCAGGAAAAGGGCAACTGAATCAGCAGTGTTTAGAGATCAGAATACACATGTTAGACTTTACATGTATGAATGTTACCCAAGCTCATCTTCAGAACAGCTGAATAGTAAATGTAGGTGATTTAACAGCTTTTTAATGGATATAGGAATTTGAGCTGAATTACATCCTTCTCGGTCATAATTGGTTATGACCAACAAGGCAGGCAGTTCCAGTGCTTATTCACAAGATCCCTTTAAGTCCTGACAACATATGGAGTTACAATGACACTCACAAGAATTACACACACATACAGATGAGTAATTTAATCACCAAAAATATATGCTTATAAAATATGTTCTCACCATCCCCATAAATAACAGCATTCAGCATTTACTGACAGGCTAATAGAAATGTTGCCATGCTCATTTTTGGCCAGGAGGAAAACATTCAGCATATTAGATGCTGCTAATTTCTTTGTTTTAAATATGCTATCCTTTTTAAATCTCTTGCATTTTTCCTTCACTTTTCTCATGTGCTATTCTTTATCTCTGAGATTCAGACAGCTGCCTGGTAGGAGCATGGCAGACTGCCTGGTCAGGGAGTGACCACATTAGGCCTTGGAACTGGCTGACAGGATAGTGCTGGGGTAGCCAGCCTAGAGATTTGTGGATGTTGTACTCAGGGGGATGAGGGAATTAGTACTATTAAGTAACAGTTCGTCTTAATAATCTTGATGGTCTTTTTCAACCTAAGTGATCCTCTGTGGCTAACAATGCCCAATCCTGCAGGCCTTGAAATGGGTGCACACATTACTGCCCCACTACATCAAAGGCAGACAGAGCCTTGCAAACCTGAGAGGCACAATTTCATGTATGCATGTGTGTGTGTATGGAGAGTGAAAGATACATCTCCACTTCTGTTGAGCACAATTGGTGTTTCAGAAAGAAATGTAATCTTAGCAGATCTAATTGTACATCCAGGACAGATATAGCAAACAACTGTGGCTTAAAATTCAAAAAACTATTAATTAGGATAATTCAAGATAGGTTAGACTAGGAACAGCCAACCTCAGAGCTCCCAAAAGACCTGCCAAGTGCTAGATGTCCAGACCCAAACAGATATGCAGCTGTGCATGTGCCACAAGCTCTACCAGTTGCCTGCATGGTGCCCTGGTCTCAACTGCACTACGAAGCAGTCAGCAGGTGCTTATGAATGACCAGGAGGCAGCCTTAATGGTGCAGTCCTTCAGGGCCATTTTTTGGATCCCACTGGGCTCAGTGCAATGTGAAACACATGTTTCTCAATTAATTAAGGCACTTCAATGTGTTCTTAATATTTTTTTTGGTTTTTTTGGACTTTTCATGAGAAAGAACTGTATAAATTTAAGATGCGATCACAAATGAAATCCAGTACGAATAGCTGAAGTCAATCAGTTTCAGTAAACCCAATAAGCTATTGCAAATACATAATTTTATCCAAGAATTTGGCTAGCACTATTGGGATAGTTTTAGATGCATTTGCTGAACTATCCTATAATTATAGAGAAGCTTTTGGAAATGCTTTCCTCCCACTTTTTTTTTTTTTTTTGTGTGTCATAAAAAACAGACAAATGAGGCAAACTGCCATTGGCCAGGAGAACTGGATCCGTCTTTGTACTGACAGACTTTACAGGGTTGCAAAGATTTGTTGTCTTTTTGACAACTAGCAAGAGAATGCGTAGGTTTAGTTTTGAGGCTGTCCTGACAAGGGATTTTCTGAGAATTGATTCTCTTGTGAGACTTCTGACATGTAATTTAAACCATCCCTACAGCACATATCCTGGGCTCTGATGTACTGTATCCCAGTGAGTGGGTTTGGAGAAAGAAACAGCTGCTGGAAGAAGAGCAGGTGTCATTTTCTCAGCAGGGATAAAAATGACTGAAAGAGAAATCTCTTTGGCTGATGAGGTATAACAGCTTATGTACTTTCATTATGGAGGGAGGACAGGAGAATTCTGCTTAAATCAGTCATAAGGAAGTACTCAGCTTGAAAGAGAAAATCTCTTTAAGCTACAGCTTAGGCTGAAAATGTTGAGAATGAACTACGAAAGAATTTCTATGATGTTTGAAACAAATCTTGATTACTTAATAAAGTATTTGGGAGAGTGATGCTCTGAGGATCTAAATGTGGTCCTAAATACTATTGGTTATGACACTTGAAAGCTGCTCTGCAGTATACTGGAGAAATTAGACTGAGCGTCTAACTTGGAGTATTACAGAAGTATTTGTTTAAGAGTTTGTATCAGTTAGGACCAGTTTGTGCTTTGTTCAAAACTTGAAGTTAGATAAAATAATGAAGTAGATCTCTGTCAGATGCTCTGAGTGATTCTGAATAACACAGGAGCCATCCAAGAAGTGTATACGAGTCTCCTTTTTCCATCACTCTCTGAATGATGCAGTTATTACAGGAATCTTTTCCTAAGGATTCTTGCCAGACCTAAAAATGTTAATAACTGATCTATTCAAGAAGAAGTAAAACAAAATAGGGAAGAGAAAGGATTTTTTTTTTTTTTTAATGTTCCTAGTAGCTCCCAGTTTGGTTTAGATATGTTTGCACAACAGGAAGGCCTTTCATGTGTTTTATATGCATTAAAATGTCTGTATTAACGTAGGACATGCCTTGGTGCCTTGCTTAAAAAAAGCTACTAAACACAGGGATTATATGCTGAAAACAAGCTACATTATACATCAGTGACAATAAATGTTGATCTTAACTAATTAGTTATATCTCTCATGCCTTTGGATGCATAATTTACCTGTTTGTAGATAATATTTAGATTGAGTTCTGGTCTTTACCTACCAATTCGTACAATTCATACAATTACCAATTGTATTGATATACTTAGTCTACAAGCAAATGGACTTATGTAAAAAACACCTAACCAGGCTTCATGTCCACCAGCTGTGCTCTTCAAATGTTCCGTCAATATCTCAGTAGAAGCTCTCTTTGGAGGTTGTCTTTTTATTCTTTAGTCTAGAATAGAGTTTGCATCAAAACAATTGAAAATTTGTTCTTTTCCAAAATTGCGTTTGTTTTCAAGCATGTGGTATTTTCTCTCAGATAAACCAATTCCTTAAGTTGATAGCATGAGAGAAGATATTCCACTTCAAGCCTTTTTCTTTTGTGTCTCACTGAATTCCATTAATAACAAATGTCAAGTACTGCTTGTCTTGGTTGCATTTCAGAGAAAAATTAGAAGAAAGCTGGTGAAAAATCCTGCATCCGATCAAATGTTTGAGAATCCCTGAAAAATGGATTATGAAGAGTTGTATGTGAACTGTCAGTAGAGTGAGGTATAATGGAAAATCATCTATCCCTTTGAGCATGTCATGGGAAGGACCCTGGGGAGCATTATAGAGCAAAATATGATTGATAGTCTACCCATGTTTTCTTCTGATGTATTCTTATGGATTTTTTTAATGGAAATTGACTTTGATGTGTATATATTTTATATATGCACTGATTAACAAAATTACTTTTGAAGAAATTAATCTGAATTGTATATTTGAATTTATATAATGAGAAATTAATCTGAGTTCCTGCCATTCTTCTCATATTGAGATGAGCTGAAGAAAGCAATGTCATTAAAAGCTCTTTTAAGAATGTTACCTGTTTATTTTACCTGTCCCATGTAAAATTTCAGTTCTATGAAGCCTAAAAAGGAACACTGCAAGTGCAAGTTATTTCCCCACTAACTACACCTAGCAAGCAATAATTTTATAACAACCAACTGCAGGAATGTATAGTGCTGACCATACGAAATTACGCTCTTTTGATGTCAGGAATTTTTTTCTCTTTATGTCATCATAAGAATTGGAAGAGAGGAAAGACATGATGCAGCAGTATGGAGAGTCAACTCTCCAAAATAGGACCATACTGAAATGGATGAAAACAGCAATTCCAAAGAGAGCATGTTCTGAGTACAAAATTTAAGATAAATTATTATATGTTTATACAAAAAGTTTTATTACTTGGCCTACTTTATGGAGAAAAATAAAAACAATACAGGAAGTTATTACTACAGAGGAAGTAATCTGCAGCAGAAGCATCTTACATGGGTCATGTGAAAGCTTGTGCTATGTGAGCTATTTTCATGTAGACTTTATTTTCATGGATGCTCACTGGCAGAAAGATGAGAGAGATAGTATTCCTGACGTAATCTTCATTAATGTCTCATCTCAGAAATAATTACAAAATAAAGCTGAATGGATGGAATAAGCTAGTAGATTATTGCAGTAAAAGCTGACAGAATATTAATATCTTTGTCTAGAAGTGATCAAAGCAGATTTATAGTGGTCAGTGGAATTTTTGAACTATAGATAAACCAGCAGGGAAACTAAAGCAAATCAGAAAGTAATTAATAATAATTCAGGAAAATTACACTGACATTTGGTGGATTTCATTCATTACATTTAATGAAGAAGTTAAATAGAGAAATCAAGGAAGTAGTAATAGTAGTATCAGCAAATCTTTAAAACCATCCACAGAACACAAAGAACAGAAAAACAGGTTCAAAGCAGTGCTACCATAACAGGTGCTCTCACAAGTGAAAACAGCATCTTTTTTTAATTTTTGAAGGACTGAAACCCAGAGTAAAGATTTACAGTGTGTTTCAGTGTTGTTATTAGGCAGAATATCAACATTTCTTTATAAGGTGGGTAGATTGTATTTATACTCAGTAAGATGATTCGCTCACCTTCTAGAGAGGTAGAATTAATTAATTCTTCTTCTAATGTTGCTCTTTCACTCTATTTGTAAAATCTTTTCTGTAAACTACAGAAGACAGAGTTCTGAAAAGGTCACCAGCTTTCTTTGGGATAGGTACAGTAGATTTATGGTATTAATAAATTTGTATACCTTAGCCTATACTGAATTAGAATTTTAAATGGAAATATAACACTGAATGTTGTGAATGGTCAGCTTATTATCAAAAGCAAATCATGATATTACAGATGGGTAGTAAATACTGAAGAGAAAATAGGTTCCTCTCCTTATAAGAAAATGGCTACGCAACTAAAAAATAAATAGACAAAATGAAAAAAAAAAGAAATATTTTCATGTAGATCTAAGGCAAAGACTGATCTCTTGGAACTGATGGCAAATAGCACAGACTTGATCTCAGAATTACCCTATTCATCCTTTCAGTCAATTATATAAATTTTAAAAGATCGTTTTAACAATCAGAATGCAAAATCTGCAAGGACAGAAAAAGCATTACAATCTCAGATTTAGTTAGGTTTGATCATGGCCTTTGTCTGAATGCTGGCAATATGACTCAATCATATGACCCTCTGTTCCAGACTAGATCATAGAAGGGTCCTTAAAATCATTTAGTACTAAGATTTTTCACATTATTTAAGGACAGATTTTACTGTTGTTCTTTAATTCTAGCCTTCATCAGTGATTACAGAAGTCTACTTCTATTCCTAAAATATCTTTAGGCAATATATTGGCTGCTAATATCATCTTTAAAGATGATAAAAAAATAAAAAATATATTTTTAAATCTAGCCGACTTTATTAAATTTCACCGAAGCAACAGAAACAGAAACCTTCTTTAGTAAATTCTTCATAGACATGCCTAAAGTTATATCACTTTTGCAGTGAACTTACTGAATAAACATCAGCAAGAGATATCTGCAGGTACAGACAGTAAAAGAAAAATAAAGGATCAATACTTGCTTGTTGTGATAAGAGGTGGGCTCTGATTTTAAGTTTAGCGGTCATCAATACTTGTGTAAATGTTCTAATGAGGAGTGTTTTTAAAAACTGGAAGGAGAAATGTTTAGATGTGTGTACAGGGAGTTCCTCCTGCACCCCAGGAGAAGCCTGGGTTATTCTGATTTCTATTAGTTTTTCCTCCTAATTTCAGTGTGGTTAGTGATTGAACAAAGTCAATGTGTGAAACTGAAGGCACAATAATACTATATATTATTTGAATTTGGAAATATTTTATTTATCTGTGCCATTGTACTTTTTTTTTTTTTTTTTTTTTTTTTTTCACCCAGATACGTTTAAAGTACATTTTATAGCACAAGAATCAAGCAGTTATGGACAAAGTAACATACTATTCCAACTGTGTGAGAGGAGGTAAATATAGGAAGGGAATTAGGTAAATATGAATGTTTATAAAAAATTCTTCAGCAATATTCACTGGCAGGATTTCTTTGAAGTCTGTGACAACCCTGGGAATAGAAAAACAAGACCAAAGACAAAATTCAGCTTTAAATATTTCCGCTAGTATATTTTCAGTCTTTTATTTTTTTCCTCAGTACCTTTTAATTGAGACCTCAAGGGAGGGAAGTATATTATAATTTATGGTAACGAGTTTCAGTCCCTGGCCTCATTTCCTCTCTTCCGATGTAACAGTAGCAAGAGTTATTTTGCTAGGTTATGAAGAACAGAAAAAGGCCTACTAAAACTGCTGTGCTAGGAAGAAACAGCAACAACTAAAAGAATTTTTTTTTTTGCAGAGTGTGAAATGCATGATGAGATAGTGACTTGCTGAAGACTTTTTCAACATTTCAATCAATACCTATCAGAGGAACTAGAGGAACTCTTCAAATAATCTGAAAGTAAGTCAACAATATGGCTGGAAAGTGAAGTGATATATCTTGCAATGTCTTAGTACTCCCAAGCAGCTAGGGTGTGGGGTATACTGACCTTGGTACAAGATGAACTGGGGAGAGGTCCAAGGCTTTTTTTCTTAAATTAGAAATAGCACTGAGTCTTTTCTGACACAGGTACTGCCAAACTAAAGGTAAAGAGGCTTTTGGACTTAATGGAATGTTGTTTAAAAGTAGGACTGAAAACTGTTCATTGAAAATATGCTTTTATTTTCCTTAATACTTATGGATTTAAGGGTTTCGTTTTTCATCTGACTATTGCAATTAAATTATTACTTTAATTTCTTACTCTATATACATTCAACAGTGATTTTCAATCTGCAGCTCACAAAGCCTTGAACTTCCATTGGTTACTTCTGAGCATGCTGTGAAAGGGAAATTAAAAACAACAAAACAATTCTCACATTAATTTAAATTTGTTGTGTAAATTTTGCACCCTCCTAGAATTACTCTAAGGATTCATTAGCATAAATAAAAAAATGTTCAAAATTCCTCCCCTACAGTAAAAAGCAAGAGTAAATATCAGATCAGGTTTGTTGGCTTTGAATTTTTCTTGCTTTACAATCTTAGAATCATAGGAAAAGAATAACTCCTTGCTAGCCAACGATGTATCACAACACATCATCACATCAAGGCTAAAACTCTTCAGCATACAAAACAATAATCTACATATTTTTTGCAGGAATTACAAATTGATGTTGCAGCCTTAGCAACTTAGTCTGTCCTTTGCAGGACAGAAGCTATATAAAGAATCCAAAAAAGGATTATGCTGATCTTCCATTTTTGTAAAAAATATTAGGAAAAAGTATGCTTTATATCCATGATATGCCTGTCTCTTTTTTTTTTTTTTTTTTTCCACATAAAATATGTATATCAGTAACTGAATGCCATGACTTTCATGGTGAAATTAAAAAAAAAAAAAGAAGTTTTATGTAATGCTCAGTTCTGGATTCACTTGTGGGTATTAATTCTTGATATGTGAAAACAGTTACAAAAGTAAATATTTTGTCTGCTAGAATATTCATTGCAGGCACCAATACTTTATTTTACATTTAGGCCTGTGTTTATGGTCAGTATTACATAAATACAATTTTAAAAGCCTTTGTCTGTGACTTCAAATATCTTTAATTCAGTAATCTGGACAAGTCAGTATTTTATTCACTTTGACGATTAATGGGAAATGTGTTTCAACCATTTTAATTCTGATTTTACTGAATACTTAACAGTTTCTGCTGCCCAGTGCTACTTAGAAAAGTCAGGTCTTGCTCTGATTTATATGGTGCTTTTTGTTCTCATGTTCCAGAGCCGTAACATTTCTTTTAATATTTAATTTAAAAAAACAGCTAAGTCAACTGATTATTAAGTACTAATTATAATTAGTAGTACAAGCATATCTTATCAGGCCCAAGCAGTGAAGTCAAGTTACTTACCTCAGATCTGGGTATGGTGGATAAGAATGACATAGCTACTAGTCAGTTCATATAAAACAAAATTGTTTTTCTGAAGAAGAAACCATAAGAGATAGCAAATACCTGATTTACAACTTTGTGTTTGCCACAAACTTGAATTTGAATCCCTAGATGGTTTTGAATAAATGCATGTGAACTTTTGTAATATCACAAAGCTATTATTATACATATTTAATATACATATATTTCTTGCAACCTGTTTTGCTTCTCTTTGACTACACAATCTTTTTAACTGGCACGTCTGTCATTTTCAAGCAGCAGTATCTGAGCGCTGCAAAGAGAGCAACACTTAAAAGCCAGGGTCTGTGGAAGCATTTCCCCCATCTTACAGCATTTCTCAGCTCTGCTGTGTGCACTGATGACTATACTACTACTTCTTAAGGAAGTCTAAGGTTTGATGTTTTCTATATCTCTACAGGTCCTTTGCAGTAGCAACCTCTCCCCTTGGAAGAACAGAATGCCCAGGGAGAATAGAATTTGCTTTTTTTTTTGACAAAATCAGTGTCTGTCAGATTCTTACAGAGCTATTTGGTTGACTTGATGGTCCACAGCTAATGTAGGATTCATAAAACCTGCATGAGATCCTCAGCAGATGTTTCTTGAACATGTGCTTGAAACAGTGCAAATCCAATTCCCATAAATATTCCTAAGTTACTACTAAAGTAAATAACTTGAGTTCTTGTAGTTAGTTTAAGACTAGAAGGTAAAATCTTTCTGTATTGAATGCTCAGAAGTGGAGCCTGCAGTGTCAGCCTGCAGTGCTTGATAAAATTCAAATCAAATACTTTGTTGGCATGATAAGCTCTGTAAAGCAGTGCCAAAGAAGAAAAAAAATAAATGGAAAAAGACCCTCAGATACTCTGCTTCTAGCTCAGGTTACTGCCTGCCCAACATTTGTCTATCTTGTAGCTGGGGATTTTATTCTCTGTCTCCATTTATCTCCACTGTTATATCCTCATTCGATTCCAAGTAGCTTCACAGCAGATTGCTCCTGCTCTTTTGTGTGCCCATCTCAGAGAAGGTGGCTGTTTCTACAGGGAACAATGTTCCTGGCTGTACGTGGTTGGAAGTGGATAAAGGAAAGACCCTAGGACTGACAGGAGATGGTGACAGGAGAAATGTGTCCGAAGCAGGCATGCATATGAGCTGAGAAGAGAGCAGATACTACCTGCTATTAGGAACAGAAGTGATTTTTTTTTCTTTGTGATTAAAAAGAATAGATTGATAATTTAAATTGTCTTGGGCAGAAGAAAACAGTTTTCATTAGAGAGGAAGCAAGGAAGCAGAGGGGCTAGTGACAATAACACAGCATACAGTGATGAAGTGAACTCTTAGTGAAAAGGAAGGTATTCTACATACACCTCTCAAAATATGAGCACTGCAGATGATTGGTGTAGATTTGCTGGAGATCAGCCTGCTGCAGAGAGGTGAGGTAATGCAAGGAGTCCAAGGAATATCAAATTACCTGTCTGAAAAACCATATGAGTGTTCTGTTCGTGAATATTCTAGTGTATAACCAAAGCAGGTACTAAGCTGTGTCTGCCTGAGAAAGATGATGAGTCCTTCTTTTCCCTGACATGATTTCCTAACTAGGAAACGATGCTGGCCTTATCACTGTAACACAGATCTATTACCTATGAGTGTCTCCTTCACATGAGCTCTGTCTATATCAAGGCCTGAGCCAGGATGCTGGACAGTTGGGAGGCATGCATGTGGCTGTGCCATGAACTTACAGCTTGGCTTTGAGAACATCACAGGTTTGTGCTTCTTCCTCCCTTTATCAGCTTCTTCTGAAAGTATCCCAAGGCATAGGCAATCCTCTCCCATTTCTAGTGAGTCTGGCACAATGTGCATAGACTTAGCTAGGGCTTTGGTGCTCTACTATACTCAGCATATTTTAGTTGTTTTTTTTTTTGCTAGATTTTAGTTGAGAAATAATGGGATTTTGGATTAAACTATATGTTTGATGTGATTTCCTCTTCCCTTTAAGGATTGAAATATGCAGTCAGGTGCATGCCTGTAACAGTTGTATGTTGAGTGTCAGCCTGAACCTCTGATTGACCACTTGAGGCAAGCACTGAGTCAGCCATGGGAGCACAGGTGAAGGCGATTCAGCTGTGTGATGGAAGGGGTGGAGCCTGGCTGCACCTCTCTTAGACCCTATTTAAGGGCTGACTGCTGCTGGAGAAGGATCCTTTTCTGGAGATCTTTCTTCTGTGGGGTTTTTCCTGTGAACCTAGATCTTTGGATACAGGTGAGCATTCCTTCCCTGTTAGTTTCTTTTCTAATTGTCACCATGATAATCTTTCCAGCTGTAATGTCGACTGTAACAACAGTGCATGTAGAAGATGAAAAAGAAGCAGAGAAGACCTTGAGGTGTATGGTTCTGACATTCTGAATTACTGTGATGTCAGCAGGTTGTGTGCATTGGTGACTGTCTTGAGTTCTTGCCTACTAAGAACAGACAGAAAGGCAAAACTTTTTAGCTTCAAGCCTCTCATAGTGCGATAACACTGTTGTGCATCTGAGCCTCTTGCTGTTTTTCAATTAAAGATTTGTTTTTCATTCCTCCTTTAGAAGAAAGTAAAATATCTCAGAGTTTCCTGCTGGCCTACGTATTCTGTAAATGAACCATCCTTTTCATTGGTCTGCTTGTTACTGGAATTACTCTCAGCAAAAGCGTTTAGCTTTTATGTGTTGGCACACTGTGTGCTAGGGAGAGATGAGAAAAGAATCATTATAAAGGAAAAAAAAAGGCAAATCCAAGGAGGTAAAGAGAGTTTGCTGTGAGGAAGATTGCCAACAGCTGAAAGAATTCTTGTTAGTAGTGATGACGAGGAAATAGAGTCCTCAGGGCAAGGAAGCTGCTGAGAGAGGCCAAAGGACTTTGTAGGGAAAGGAGACTAGGGCTGGAGAATGGAAAATAAAATTGTCTATGTCGTAGCAAGGATAAAGTGTTTTTCACTTTGATTTTCCAATAGCAGAAGATAGGAATGTGAAGACCACAATGCAGGTCTTTACAGCTTGAAGGGACTTCATGGCAAGGTGTGATGCTCAAAATATATTGCTTATAATTAATAGCATAACAGATTCCTCCAGTCTCTTGTACTAATAACTACATAATTATGACAAAATATTTATGGGCTTCTTTGCAAAACCTGTGATAGCTAGATATATATTAACCCTTGAACCAGCTAATGTAAAGCTCTGTGAGAGCAAAACAGACAAAACTACTGGCTTTCATGGCATCCATGATATGCTTTTTTTTTTTTTTTTTTTTTTTTTTTATTTTAGAACGCGTACATAAACTTCTAAGCCATTTAAGTGCTTTCATAAACATACTTGTTGTGCTGTGAAGCAATGAGTGGGAAGATGAGGTTATACAGGCTAAAGCCTTTGGCAACGTTCACTATAGCAGTAAAAGTTCAATGAGGAAGTGTTGAAATTGTGTCAAAGGAGATTGTTCCAGCAAAGAACTCAGGACTATAAAAATAAATACATATTGCAGCTTTATGAAATGTTAAAGGACAATTTGAAAAAGGACCTTCAGCCTTTTTGTCCAGATGTTTAAAAAACAAAAATAAAAATTGCAGAATGTTATGTGAATTTTTCCTCTTGATAAACTTGAGGATTAGACAGAAAACTTGGGATTCATTCAGTCCCTCTAATCTTGAAATGACTTGAATCAGTCTCTGTGTAGAGGATAATGTTTACTCACGTGGTTCACCCAGGTCTTTTTTTGTTTAAAAATTCTTAATTTACTAGAAATATAAGGACATTGAAGTATGGAAGGAAGACATAAGCAAGTCTTATATGTAGCATCACTCAGGAAAGAAGTGCTAAAAGAGACTCTTGGAATTATCCTACATTGAAATTAAAATATACATGTTTTAGAAATAGTATGTGTTAAAACAGTTCAATGGTAAGTTTCCTCTAACCTAGCTTCTGAGTTCTGCAAAAATGAATAGCTTTTACACAAAGGAGAGCTGTTCCATTAACCAGTTATTATTTATTTGTCAAGCAGTGTCTCACAAATGTACTGAAAAGGTGAAGCATAGCCCAATACAAACGTTTCCTTTCACTTGATTCATTTTGATGTTAATTGTACAGACCTGTAGCTCTCCTTGGATGAGATTTCTTTCTCAGCAGAGCAGAAACACTTATGTTACAATTAAAAGCCTATTTTCCATGCTCAAGTGGGACTTCCATGGTGCAGGGACCAAGTAATTTTCATGTTATTACTTTCTCAGTATTTTCTGTCTACAGTAGGTTTTACTATATTCTCAGCAAGAATTTCTGTGCAGAACATGACTTAAGGCAGCATGTTGTTTTCAAAAAAGCCGGAGATATAAGAAAAGGGTATTCTGATATTTTCATGTGATTGTTGTTACATCCTTGCTATCTAGTTCACTGTGACAAGGCAGTTGAATTACATTTATGTTCTACTAACAACATTTCTTTTTTACTTTTATTTTTTTCCAAGTAGCATTTTCCAAATCAGAACAAGGGTAGCTTAGTAAGTTTAAGTGCATCAGAAGGGTTAATCTGGAATTGCTTCTTCTGGATAATCTTTTGTGTTGCCTGCTGTTTTCTTTAAATACTTCCAGCTGCATAACTACTGTAATAGCTATCCTAATTTTCATCCAATGGCCAAGACGACAGGAAATTTCACTCTGTGCCAGTTTGATTCTTAGTTTTGCATTTGACATCCACAGAAGTGAAAGAACACACTTAAAACTCTAGTAGAATGCATGGCTTTCTAATAAGCCAATGCAGTATGAATTTATGATCTCCACATTTTTTTGTGTTTTTCTGGTAAGCACCACCAATGAATATTTCTTACAAATCATTTTGGGTTTTACATATGTGACAAGAAAGAGAAGGAAAGTCTTTAGAAATAAAAATATAATTTAGTGTGCTGACAAGCTAAACACCATGTATTTGGTTCAGGGAGTGCATCCATTTTGAAATTAAGTTTGTTCTTAGTTGTTACAGGAGACAGTGAAAGGGAAACCACCTCACTTTTTAAGTGAGGCTGACATAACAGATCAGAATCAATTGTGCTGAGACTAATGGAGTGAGACTACCCACATCATTACCCTGCAGGCATTTCTTTGTCCAAGTCCTCCCTGTACTCACAGGATCTGATTTTGGTATTCATCCCTTTTGTTACCTCTTTGGAAAGATGATTTTGGAAAAAAATTTTTCTCCCCAGGTGTGCTGTTGCAAAGTTTCCTTTAAAGGAGTTGGAGGGTATTAGTGAAAACTAACAGCTCAGGGAAAAAAATAATAATAATAATTAGAATGTTTTACTTTATTTTGTTAATTTTTTAGGCTAAAGTGATAGTGGCAGCAGTATTTAATAGTTTAGGAACTGGGTGCCCCAAGCTCTGTTCCTATCTCTAACAAGGCTCTGCTCATGCTTCTTTTCTTTTTGTACATTTCAGTTCTTTGGTTTATCTGGACTGTAAGTCACATCTGCACTGTTTGTGCAGTGAACATTGTCCACAGTGTAAAGAGGCCATCAGTCCATCTGCCATGGAGGTCCTAAGGACAGAGGATGCTGTTGCTATGACTTAATGTGACCTGCATGAGAAGAGCCCTACATCTAATTACTATTATACCTACTCTAATTGTAATGTATTTTAGAAATAAAAATAATATAGTCTTTTGTTGATGACAGTTACAGTTGTAAAAAGAGATTAAGTGAATGGCTAGCATAAGTGATAAAGTTACAGGCCTAGCTTCCCTCCAAGACATGTCGTCTACCTTCACAGTGGCCCACTCAGGCTGTGATGCATTTTTTCTGAGATACTCTTCCATATAGAGTCAGGACTGTTTAAAGAGTCCATCAACATCAGGCACTTTGGCACGTGTTATGAGTTTTATGGTACAAGGAAAGCTTTGTAACTGTGCCTGAACTGTGACAGTCCATGGGTCTGATTGCAGACTATATTTGTACTGCTAAGTGCCTTGGGAGCAGCAGCCCAATTTTTGTTCCATATCATAAGAGGAGAGAGAATGTGTTTATTCAAAAAAAAAAAAAAGTCACAAAATATTATTTGGAACAAATGAATGTCAAAGGAGATCTCTGAATAGTGCAGTGTAGCCAGAGTTGTATTCTAAAGTGGCCAGTTCATTCCAAAATAGCTAAGCTGGTAGCAAAGGAATTACTGAGTTCAGTTATTTTCAGTGTTTTTCATTAGACTTAGGTATTGATTTTTAACTAATTATCACTTACTACAGGTCACTGCAAATCCAAAGTTATGAATTTGGAAAAGGAACTTAAGCATGGCCAGGGAATCATGACTTACAATTGAGGCTCAATTAGGATTTTTCCACCAACGTGGATTTTACAGGTGTAAAAATTGTAATGTTTTGTCACTGTTAGAAGCTTTTAATGATATAAATAAAGAGAAATCAGAGAATTTTCAATTCTAACAGACATACAAGGAAAAAATGTTTTACCAGCAGAATAGTTCAATTCTGAAGAAGCGGACAATTACAAAGTCTTTGGTTTCTATTACGTTTAGTGGTATGTGGATTCCAGGATAAGTATTTTAAATGGACAATTAATTGCAGAGAAAGGGAGGGAGGCCTCATCCTGACTGCACAGCTATGTCATTGATCTTATGTGGTTTTGGCTTCTATTTCTTTTATCTTAAAAGATATGTGACCCTGTCCATAAAGTCAGGAGAAAACAACCTAGAGAGGTCCAATGGGACTCTATTAAAGACAAAGTCTTCTCACAGAACAAACAAGAAACAACTAAAATAAAGACTATTAGACTATTTTATGGAACTTCCACTGCCAAAGCTAGAAGCAGTCTGAGGTGAGAAGTGTTGAAGTGGAAGGCTTTCTTGTTCAGCATCAATCAAGAAGTGCTGAAGAGCAAATTCATTGCATACAGAGCATAAAGAACCCAAGCTGATGAACTCTCTGTATCTGTACTTCTTCTAAGAGTGTAGATGAAAATTGTAACAGCTCCAGAAACACTAGTATATAACGCTTCCAGTTTTGTCAGTGCTCAGACAAAGGTGACTGGGGTCAGATGGTCTAGACTGTGGAAAATCCTGAGCTGAATTTTTCCTTGGTGATCTCTCACCCACCAGTGCCATACATTTGAGATAAGTGAAATATCGGTTTCTGATTGCATTCTTGTGTGTAAATTATGTAGAGGATGTAAAGGACCAACAAAATATTTTCTGACTTTCCATGGTATGCTTCTCATTTAGACTGTGTTAAATTCTCATTAAAGTTGGTGATTGTGTGTGGACCTTTGCATATTATTTACCTTATTGTAACCAGGGTTATTTGTGAATCTGATTGCCCCTTCCTTTTTCTTACAAGCAAGATGTGACAGGAGGTCATTCTGAAAAATTTCAACTGGAGATGACCTCAAGTCAGTCACTAACAGTGGGGTCTGGAGCTTGTGGATAAGTTTGGCATCACTGTCCTAGCTGTGGGATCCAGAACCCTGTCTGTGTGATCTAAATTTCTGGCTAAAGACTCAAAGTGAGTTTGAACTGGCTATAGGAAGAAACAGCCTTAGGATCATTCCCAGTACAGTTTTCCTTATAACACCCTGTACTGAGTGGCTTCTTTTCTTTTCACAGACTTCATGTGGACTCAAACTCTGTTATATTTTAAAATAAGAGTGATCCATATTAAAGAAGCCAGTAAAGCCTTTCTATAGTTTTGTCAACAGCATGTTTCATTTTTTTCAAAAGCTTTCTGACTCCAGTGGCATCAATCATCAAAGCAACTCAAACTGTTTAGACTGCTTCTGGACCTTGCTTGAACTATCCATCAGGGGGGCTTTGGGAATAGAAGAACAGCAATTTTTTAGAGAAGATGGAACAGTAAGGAAAAAGCTAAGCCATGTCCTTTGTTTGATTTCTCTTGTGAAATGAAACAAAAGAAAAAGATACTGAGCTGCCTGGACTAGTAGAATGAGCAGTTCAAAACACTACATTTTCAATTTGTTTCACTGGAAAGAAGTTCTTTGCTGCTACCATTTCTTCTGTTGTATAAAATACCTGTTTGCTCTTTAAAATGTTCTAAAAATATATAAGAAAATGCGCACTCTATGAACTGAGTTACTTCTGCCTCCTCACTTGCTCCTGTCAGCTCTCCTACTTATGTTTATTTGTCTTCAGATTTTCCTAATGTCCTGATTTTTCTGCTGCTGCTGCCAGCACTTTGAGAGATAGACACATCACAGAAGTGAGAAAAGGAAGAATCCAATAAAATTGGAGTTAAATTCATGGATTTGTGCTGCAGTTTGTTTTGTTAGAGATCTCATGGACAACCTACATTTATTTTATGTTTCTGAATTTTAATATAGAATATAAATAAGGATGGCAGTAACTCTCTGTTTTTCAGAGATCACGTGAGGTTAAACGAGCATGTGCAGTTCATACTTTGAGAATTGGAGTTATACGAGTACTTTGGGTAGATGTATTAATTGTGCTCCTCTGAATGCTTCCCTTGAATTACCTGTCTCACCAGGACAATTGTGATATGAAGTAGCTTCTAACATCCATCGCAGTAAATACAAAAGCCAAGAACTATGGAAATGTCTTTAAGACATTTTTGAGCAAGGAATTATTTACCTCAAGTTTAGGACAAATCAAAATGAGATATTTTATCATCCACAAAAATTAGGTGTGTCCAACATAGGAATATTTGGTCTTGTTAACAAAATAATAAATACAAGGTTATGGATCTAAATATGAGAAAATGAGTCTCTGTTGTAAGTGGGCAGATAGATAGAAATAGAAAGCAACCCTGTCACTTTAGTCTAGCAGTTTGCTTGCTTAGCTACCATCATCATTATTTTCTGAGACCTTATGTTATCAGGTGAGTTTAGCACTGTACTTAATTTACTGAATGCTGCACTAACAAACAGTTTTGTTTACCCTTCAAAAATGGTATTGTAATTTCTTTTCATTTGTACACAAACATAGATGTTATGTACACAATACACTTTAATTAACAGAGAGAAGTCTGAGGAACGCTAATCACATTCTTACTACCAAAATCTATCCAGACTGCCTCTCTGAGGGAAAATGTGGGAAGTGACGCCCTCCTTGGAGGGGCGGAGGGGGTGGGTGGAAAGAAACAAACACAAAAATATTTTCTTTGATTAGCTTTATTGGTCACTGAAGGTCATTTTTCTTCTAATGAGGTATAGCTGCAGGTGTCTTTTATCTCTATATAAATAAGGAACTTGTGAATACTGAAAACTCCTGAGGGACGGGTTTGTGCGTTTAATGTTTCTCTTTGATATCTGAAGAAATAGTAAATAGTTCTTATATACTATATGCAAGGCTAGGCCAGAACATCTGCACTCACTGAATATATCTGACATAAATTTCCATGTTGAAAATGTCTCTTCTGCATCTATTTAACATGGTCTAGTTCAATTCAAGTTCCAAACTTCACCTATTTTTAAAGGCTTGTTATGTAATTTAAGTCCCTGTGGTATTTTTTTCCAGAGGTGTCTCATGCAAACCAGGGGAACTCCATTTTGAACTGATTAAAACAAACTGCTTCATCTCCAAGGACTGGAAATAACCACTGTTCCTGCACCTACTTTTATGTCCTTTGTACACAGTAAAACTAAGTTGATTCACTTGGAAGTTTACATATTGATTTTGTTCCTTTTTTTTTTTTTTTTTTAAATGAAGAATTTCAGGAAAAAAGGCTATAAAGTGTTAATGGACACAGAGTGCTGATCATTGGCCCACTGTCCAGGTGGAGATCAGTAATGCGTGGTATCCCTTAGTGGTCAGTACTGGGACTGGTGCTTTTTAAGATCTTCCTCAAATACATCAACAGTAGGATCAGCTGTACTTTCCTCAAGTTTGTGATGACATCAAGCTGTGTGGTGCAATTGATGCACTGAGGGATGGAATGCCATTCAGTGAGACCTAGACAAGTTCAAGCAGTTTGCTCTGGTGAAACTCATGAGGTTCAACAAATCCAAGCGCAAGGTCTTGCACCTGGGTTGCAGCAGCCCTCACTACCAGTACAAGCTGGGAGATGAAAGGACTAAGCACAGCCCTGATGGAAGGGACTTGGAAGTACTAGTAGATGGTAAGCTGAGTGTGAGTCAGTAATGTCCCTCACAGGCTACAACAAAAGTGTGACCAGAAGGCTGAGGGAGGTGACTGTGTTCCTCTGCTCTGGTGAGACTTCACCTGGAATACTCTGTCCAGATGTGGAGTCCTCAGTACAAGAGAGATGTGGTCCTGTTGGAGCACATTCAGAGGAGGGCTCCAGAGAGTGCCTTTTCAATATCGAAGGCTGGGGTACAGGAAACCAGGATCTTTGGTGACAGTACAAGGGGAAATTATTTCAAACTAAAAGAGGGGAGATTTGTATTTGTATTTAGGAAGAAGGTTTTTTACAAAGAGTGGTAAGGCACTGGAACAGCTGTTCAGAGGAGATGATGGGTGTCCTGTTGCTTGAAGCATTCAAAGTCAGGCTGAACAGGGGTCCAAGCAGCCTGATCTAGCTGTGGGTGACCCTGTTCATTGCAGGGGAGTTGGACTAGGTGAACTTTTAAGGTCCCTTCCAACTCAAGCAGTTCTATGATTCTATGGAAGAGTGAATTTGACTTTTTCCTTTGAAGGACTCACCTTGTATACTCTGTTTCATTCTTCCACAGTGAATTTCTTTTTAGTAGAACTTTTCTGGTATTCTAAAATATATCTGGAAGTGTTAAGAAACTGAAAATAGAAAAATGTTAGCAATCCCTTTATAGTTTTGGTGTCTTGAAGAAATTGCCAAAATAATTTGAAACCCTGATTTATTACTAAGTGCAACTGATTCAGTACTTTCCTTTGAGATATAAGGGAAATCTTCAGGACTGGTTTTGATATGAACACCTATCAGGTAAGTATAAATTATACCCATAAAACATAGCTTTAGAGCATAATGTAAGTCATATGTATATATACTCCTTGGTTGGAGGAGAACAGGTATCACTATTTTTCATAGTCTTCCAAATTAACCAGAACATCTCCTTACCAAAATGCTGTACATGTCTCCTAAACTGGTTCCATCTAAATCAGTAAATATTCTATGTTTAATTGTAAATATGATTTAAGTTCTTCTGTTTTAATGACAGTTAAGCATATTTCTGACATTCTTTTCCATAGCTATTTTCCCACACTAATGTTATGATGTATGGAATAGACTTTTGGGAAAACGTCCAAAATCCAGAACTGTTCTCTTTGTCCTTAGTGTTCTGATTTAATCTCTTTTAAGCCTAATCTCTTTTAAGCCAACCTAAACTAGTAATGCTATCACTCCAACACCAACCATACCTTTACACTGAAGAAGGTAATTGAAAATGTTTTGAACAAGTTGAATTTCATCAGTGACAAACACTGTCACCTTAAACACAGGTCTACTTCGAGAAATGTTTAAGTGGCATTTTCATGTTCCTGTGTACTTTCAAATCATAAGGAACAGAGATAAATCAATTGCTGTTTATTTCAGCTAGCATTGCAGAGTCAACACAGTCAAGAATAGTAAGAGCTTATTCTTTTTTCCTTCTCACACACTGTGAAAAGAACTTTTACCATGGCTGCAAAGGCTGCAGTGTTGTGAACCCTTCTACTTCCATGTGCCTAAGGCCTTAATTCTTGCGTTAGAGTATCTATCAGGTGCAAGGGAAGGATGAGAAATTATAATACGGATTTGAAAATATGATGTTAATCCTCCATGCTAACAAATGGAAGGCAACAATTTGTTGTAAATCTACAGAGGAAGAGCATTTCTACTAGGTATCTGTGTAATATGTGAATGGCAGTATTGTGGTGATATTTGAATTTCACAAATTTTATTTTACCCAAAAGTTACTTTACTCCAATTCTGTGATTAAATAAAACTGAAAAACAGATGAATTTTGCAAGTATATTTTATAATTTTATAGTGTTAAAGTCTCCATTACACTTTTGGACAGGGATGATGTTTCCCCTTTGACTTGAAATCTATCAGATCTTGATATTTCTAATTTTGTTTTATGTTATTCAAGCTCTTGCACTTCTTAACTGAATTACAACTAAGATTCATTCAGGCATCACTTTCTCCATGCTTCTGTCATCATACTATCCATTACAAGATATGCTGATCTAGGATTTCAATTTTTGTTTAAAAGCCTTATAATATTGCATTTAACAAGACCGAAATTCTGGAAAATACTTTAAAAAGCTGAAGAAAAGTAATTGAGTAATTATGGAAATGAGCTGCTAAGTGTCATATATGTGATTTAATCATATTTACTGTAATGACAGTGTGGGAAACTGATTCCCAGGAAATCTTAATTTATTTCTAGAAAGGGCAGGGTGCAGCACTGAATTTTTCAGTATTCAAAACCTTTTACATGTGGAGGTGATTCTCATACAGATGTAAGAAAATCCTTTGAGAAAAAAAAAAAAAATATATATACTTTTTTTTGATGTAGGTTCTGTGTTTCAGAGAAGAGGGGACCTGAAGACATTGTCTATTTCATCCTTTTACTCCAAAGCACCATCATCTACGTCTACTCTTCTATTTATCGCTCTTTACCAAACCCATTCTTTGTGACCTGCAATAATGAAGTCACCATACTTTTCACAAGCAGAGTGTTTCAAGAATTTACTGTCCCCTTACCATTTAGAAAGTGTATGATAATGACTAACCTGGACTTTCCTTGATGCAGTTTAAGTCCATTACTACTCCTTTATCTGTGAAGAGCAAATTATTATCAGATTGTCGAAGGAGCTTTTAAAGTATCTGAAGGCTGTTCACTGAGTCTTCTCTTTTCTAAACTAAATATTCTCAATTTAAAAGACTGCGATGAATTTGTACTGAAATCAACTATCAAAAATAATAATTCATTGAGAACATAAAAATCTATTTATAAAGTTACCTTCTATCATAATAGGAACTGATTATAGGCTATTTAAAAATAAATTTTTAGTGTTTTGCCTGGCATGAAAGCCAGTCAGGAACGTTCATATGAAATGTTATTTTTATTCTTCAAACTTAAAAACCAGCTCTGAGACATGGAGAGTGCAATGCTTAACTATTAGCTCGGTTAATATTCAGCTGAGGTTGTGACCCACGCTGTGAACAATTTGGGATGTGAACTTCAGCACCTCATACTGCAGGTGAGTTTTCTAACCTTTTTTTCCTGGTCTGGGGAAAGGTTCCTTTGTGACTTTTCACTTTCACAGGGCTTTGTTTCATATTGGCTACTGCATTTGAAATGTTAAATATTTTCTGGATGAGAGCATCCCCTTTCTGTTTCAAACTGAAGTTCAACTACACATAGGTCAAGGAAGAATATTCTGTGGAGTCACAAAGTGAAATCAGAGAAGAAGCATAAAACTGTTGTGTATTTCTGACATTCTGGATATAACAGAGGAAGGACAGATACTGTGCTGCACCAGGGAAGTAAAAGCTTGCGTAACTTTGTCTTGCAGGACACTGTTGTACTGCTGAGAATTGTCTCCTTAAGCAGCAAGGTGGTGGCTTCCATGGAGACCATGAAAGCTTCTGCAGCATGGTAGAGACTTTAACAGTCATAGATATATCCAGAGCTCAATTAGGAACTTAGATGCATAGTTGGATTCACATCTGTGGTTTGCATGGCCCAGCACATAGCTGCCTTGCACACTTCAAGAACCAAGGGGAAATTCTGAGCTGAAATGCACAGCCCAAGTGAAGAAGGATCCTGAGAAGATGCACTCAGACAACCATATAGAGCAGCCACAAAAATCTGCTTTTTTGCAAGCTTGACAAGGAGGCATCTACTTATAGTAAGCCTTTCTAATTTGTTTTGCCAAAAACTGGATTTATTATTAGAGAAATTAGCTGCAAGTGAGATTTCTAAGAAACCATACATCCAAATAATAAAACCAAGTAAATAACTATAATATTGACTTGTTCAAGAACTATATTCATGGCTCTGTTTTCTACCAAGAAATTTAACTGAATGCTCAAAATTTGCTGGTATCTTAAATTTCACAGAATCGCAAAGTTCTTTTCAACTTTCCCTTACGGTACTTGTTGGCTATCCGTCTTGTGCCAGTATTTAGCATCTCTGCCAACATACCTATCACCCATAGCAGTAGATCATAGAAACATTGAGAGAGATGCACATAGTGACCATTTTAAGCTGGTTAAACTTTCTGTCCACTACTAATACGATTCTCTAAAGTGAACTTCCTCTTTTTTTTTTTTTTTTTTTTTTTAAATAGTACAGCTGTAGTTCAGATTATCTCACACCTACAATATGAGACTGAGGCGTTTGTGAACAAGAATCTCTGTTTTGGTGGTAGAAGGTAAATAGACATGTCACAGCCAGCCATATTTTATTAAAAAATGTTGAAAGACATTAAGACAATGCCTTGTTGAAAGAAAGAGGTTTATCTTTTAAAGTTGACAAATATTTAGACACTTTTCCCATGACAGTCTCCTTTCTTACATAACATAATGAAGATCTGATGCAACCCAAGCAGGTTTTACCAAGTAAAAGCAAACCATGGCGAGAAGGAAGCCATACGTCAATCTTTCATTCTCTTTTCTGCCCTAATTACGACTCATCTGTTTCAACATGACTTTATGATTTAGACCCCTCACACTTCTCACTTCAAGACAAAAAAAATCTGCTTTTAATTTCAAAGGTGTTCCTCATTTTCCTACTTAATTTATGCTGTTGCATATGACATACATATACATATAGAGAAATATAGAATTTCCTGGCACTAAATCTGTTGCTGGCTGTAGTGTGAACTAAATCAATACATAAATATAGTACCAGGAAAAAAAAAAAAAAACAGTAATCCTATATCTAAGTCGGAGTAGATATAAAAACAAGTGATAAGAGAAGATTCACCTGTCATTTGTTACTATAGAAAAAAAGGACCGTGATTTTTTTACATCACGCTATGCAAAGTAGACAACTCAAACATTTTCCTCTATAGCAAAAGCAAAAAAAATTGTCATTCAAAATCACTGCAATAAACCTGCTGATCTGGTGTTATACTGTGCCTCTAGCAATAGACTGCGTTGAACTGGAAAAACAAACAACCAAAATTGTCAGTTCTGCAGCATATTACACATTAGCCCGTGAGGATTTTCTCCTGTAAGAACCAGCTGATGCATTATTTGTTGCTGCTGATACTCTACCGCAGTTTTGGGTGCATCGAGATTGTATAATCAATGAATATTAAGATGCTATAATTACAAAATAAATGAGAGAGTTTGGCAAAGTAGATTATGATAACAAAAAGAGAATAGATAGAAAGCTTACCCCTATCCTGGGCTCACTTACAAAACTCCAGCAGAGCAGAACTCCAGAAGAGATCCTTCCCCACTGGTAGCCAGCTCTTAAATATATTGAGGAGCTCCACCCCTTCCAGCAGTACAGGTGAACTGCCTTCACCTGTACTCCTCTGGCTGACTCACTGCTCGACTCAGGTGATGAATCAGAGGTTCAGGCCGTGACTCAGCAGTTCCCATACACTCCACCACTTCACAGCATGAACCAATGATCAGGTTGACTAAAGGGTAAGCTTTCCCTAATACAGAGATCCGCTATATCACAATGCTTATACAGTTTTCATCGTGACACATGTTGGTACAATTTGAGTGATGATCAGTGAATGTCCATATTCCTTTATGGGCCACTGCTCGATGATGTTACTGGAGGCATGTAGCCGTGAGGTGCAGGTCTGTTCTATGTTCTATCAGTCCCGTGTAGACCATCATCGGGTGTTGCACTACATTCCAGTAGCACTGGAACGCTTTGATGGCATTTTGTTCCGTTCAGTGATCCTGAAGGCTCACAGACTCACGGGGAGTAATACAGATGTTTCAGAGGTACCAAGAGGGGAAGGTCTGCTCTCCAGGGCAAGATACAAGCAGTATTTCTATCGTAGGTCAACACTTCCACTTGTGTGGGGCACATCCTGGCTGCCTGAACCACACCTTCTGGCCAGATGTCTGCGCTGCATAATTGTATCAGGCACCAAAGGAGGTGTCCTGATCTGCAACAGGGACATGATGGAGGTCCCTTTAGCAATGAAAATCGGAGTGTTGACCACAATATCAGTAGGCCATGTACTTACTACTGGAGGGACTACTAAGCCTCCCACCTCCAACAATCTCCCCCAACCCCCCCACACCATTTGGGTCCTACCTGCACCTTCTAGGGCCATTTTATTCTATGGGTACCCAGATCTAAATTCTCAGGGGCAGGGAGCTGAAGATTATTTTTGTTACCAATCTGGGGTCTTACCTGATGATCAGTGCCTGTAATTTGGATCCTAAGCGGGGTGGCCCATGTTGTCTGCAACATTCTCAGGACACTGTGTCTGCCGCCTCAGGGTCTTTCATTCAGGTCCCACATGGTTTCATGCAGTCTTTTGTCCATCCCTGCAGGGACTGGGAGTCTGTCTTCAGGGCAGCCTTAAGAATACCGTTATAAGGTTCGATGAGGCCTGCCCTCATTGGATTATATGGCAGGTGGAATCACCATTCAATGTTATTTTCTTCTGCCCAGCACTGTATTGTTGCACCAGTAAAATGGGTTCCTTGGTGGCTCTCGATGACTTGAGGTGTCCCATAGGCAGACATCAGTTTAGTGAGTGCCTTGATGGTATATGCCTGGTTTGCCTTCAGTACTAGATAGGCCTGCAGTAGCCCACTTGCAGTGTTGACACAGGTCAGGGCATATCTTGTCCCCTCAGACCGAGAAAGAGGCCTAATGTAATCAACCTGCCATCACTGGAGAGGATTGGGTCCTCTAGCAAGATGGGCTGTTGTTTTGAGCAACGATCTCAGTCTCATCTTGGAGCAAGAGTCACAATCCTGGCATGCCTGGATGATAGCAGGTAGTTGTATGGGCAGTCCCCACACTTTAGCAGCTGCCCACATTGTCTTTTGTCCAGCATGTCACAGAATCACAGAATCACCCAGGTTGGAAGGGACCTCAAGGATCATGTAGTTCCAACCCCCCTGCCTAGCAGGGCCACCAAACATACACATTTAGATCAGGTTGCCCAAGACCCCGTCCAACCTGGCCTTGAACATGACCAAGGACGGGGCATCCACAACCTCCCTGGGCAGCCTGTTCCAGGGCCTAACCACTCTCCTTGTAAAGAACTTCCCCCTAACATCCAACCTAAATCTTCCCTCCTTCAACTTGGATCCATTTCCCCTAGTCCTGCTGTTGTCAGCCCTTTTGAAGAGTTTACTCCCCTCCTGGGTGTAGTTTCCCTTCAGGTATTGATAGGCTGCCATGAGGTCACCCCGCAGCCTTCTCTTCTCCAGGCTGAACAAGCCCAACTCCCTCAGCCTGTCCTCATAGGGGAGGTGCTCCAGCCCCCTGATCATCTTAGTCACCCTCCTCTGGACCCTTTCCAAAATCTCAATGTCTTTCGTGTACTGAGGGCTCCACACCTGGACACAGTACTCCAGATGGGGTCTCACAAGAGCCGAGTAGAAAGGGACAATCACCTCCCTCTCCCTGCTGACCACCCCTCTCCTGATGGAGCCCAGGATCCCATTTTCCTTTCGAGCTGCCAGAGAGCACTGCTGGCTCATGTTAAGTCTCTCATCCATCAGGACCCCCAGGTCCTTCTCTGCCGAGCTGCTCTCAAGGACCACTCCTCCCAGCCTGTACGGGTGCCTGGGGTTCTTCCGGCCCAAATGCAAAACCTTGCACTTAGCCGTGTTGAACCTCATTAGGTTCACCTGAGCCCAGCCCTCCAGCCTGTCGAGGTCCCTCTGAATGGCATCCCTTCCTTCCACTGTATCAACTGCACCACTCAGCTTGGTGTCGTCAGCAAACTTGCTGAGAGTGCACTCAATTCCCTCATCGATGTCATTAATAAAGATGTTAAAGAGCACCGATCCCAAGACAGACCCTTGGGGGACACCACTTGTTACCGGCCTCCACCTGGACATAGAGCCATTGACCACCACCCTCTGTCTGCGGCCTTTCAACCAATTGCTTATCCATTGCGTCGTCCACCCATCAAATCCACTTCCCTCCAATTTGGAGATGAGGATGTCGTAGCTTCTGATGTAACCAATGGGCGATGTTCTCAGATAGTGAATTCTCAATCCATCAAACTTGGGCCAGCGTGTCACCTTGATCATTTCCCGGTGACTGTAAGGGCTGATGACCAGAAATCTGGTAGACACGTACAGTCCTGTGTTTGACCGTATTCCATATATCTAACCACATGTCTTTGCCCCAGATTGGTCAGGTGTGGATAGTCCATTTCTGGGTGGCCCACTGTGCAATCCAAAGAGTGAGTCTCCAGTACACAGCCCAACAATCTGTGCAGATATTCAGGATACCATCACCGGGTTCCTTGGTTATAACCATCCACACGGCTCACAGTTCTGCCCATTGGCTGCTCTGACCATCCCCCTCATCAAACCAGATTTTCTTGGTGGAAGGATGGTAAGCTATTGCTCTCCACTTGCTCGGGTTGCCCTTGCTGGACCCATCTGTGTACCAGGCATCTTCAGGGATAGGATATTTTCCCTCCTGAACTGGACTCTTCTCTGGTGGAGCGACCAGTATTTCTTTTGGTGCATCACTGTGATACGTCACTGGGCCTAGGATTCTCTGGAGCTCTTCTTTCAAGGGTGATGAAGACAGGCTGCTCCTTTGGCTGAGGTAGGCGATCCATCATGCCACTGTTTGTGCTTGGGCCACCCCTGTCTTAGGAAGGTAGGTCAGATCTTTCACCCACCTCTGGATTGGCAGAGTGGTCTCGACTATAACTTCAGCTGTTTGAATTATTGGCTCTACTGCCTGTAATGCCGAACAGGCAGCCAATAACTGTTTTTCAATCATACTGTATCTTTCTTCTGCTCCATGCCAAACCTGAGACAGAAACCAATGGGGGTCTGAACAGAACTGTGGCGTTGCCACAGGCCCCAACCAATGCAGTCTTGAGTAACATGAACGTCCAACTCAGCTGGGAGGGTAGGATTAAATATACCCAATGCCTGGGCTTGTTTAACTGCAAGTTTTGCTTTTTGGAAAGCATCTTGTTCTGTTTTCCCCCCAGTCCCATAGCTGCCCCTTTTTTGTGAGTCTGTATAGTGGGTCTTAGCAGCTGCGCTAGGCGAGGTAAAAAGGAACACAAATAAACCAATATACCTAGAAACTCTTGCAGCTGCTTTGATCTGTAGGAATCGGGAACGCCTGAACCTTATCTATGACAGCACTGGGTAGTACTTTGATCTTTCCTGACCAAATCACCCCCAGGAATTTTACGGACAGGCCTGGACCTTGCACCTTCTGGGGATTGATAGCCCATCCCCTCTATTGTAAATAGGTGGTTAATGAATCTGCCGCCTGTCCTACTGCCTCCAGTGAGTCAGATGTCAGCAGATCATCAATATAATGATATAGGTTAGCATCATCAGGTTTTCTCCAATCAGCCAGGTCACACGCCACTAGATTATGATAATATGCTGGTGAATGCACATATTCTTGTGGCACCTGAAAGCTCCACTGCCTGCCTCTCCACATAAACGCAAACTGATCTTGCAATTCCTCAGCAATTGGGATACCAAAGAACGCATTTGCTAGATCTAGGACACAATGATAGGGTTTTTATCTCCCTAGTTCATGTGTCCATTAGGGAGGCAATATTGGGTACGGCAGCATGAATAGGCGGCATGACCTTATGTAATTCTCTGTAATCTACTGACATTCTCCACACGCCATCCGACTTCCACACTGGCCATATGGGGGAGTTATATGGGCTGTGTGCAGGTCTTACAATGCCAACTTTTTCTAATTCCTGCACCGTTCTCAATATTTCATCTTGCCCACCCGGGAATCTATACTGTCTCACATTAGTAATCTGGTACAGTTTCGGCAGGCAAACGGGCCCATGTTTCACAGGGCCTCTTAATATTGCCTGCACCGCCCAGACACTGATACATCTCTATTGAAGTCTGAACTCTCCCACGGTTGTCTGGAGAGCCAGACCCCATAGAATATCTATGCCCAGGATGTATTCTTGGACTGGGGCAATAGACACCTTGTACTCCCAAGGTGGAAAATGCCCAACCCCCAGTTTTAACCATGTTTGGGTGACAGGAATAGTCTGTTCCCCAAGACCACCAATCATCACTCTGTCCCCATCAAATTTGGTCGGATCTCCGTAGATAATTGATGTTTTTGCTCTGGTGTCCACTAATGCCATAACTCTGAATATTTTCTCGGGACCAATAAATTGTTAATTCTATATAGGGCCTCTGGTCTCATCTGGAGGCTCTAGAGGGACTAACATCCCTTGTGACGCCATGAATTGTGCTAGGGCCAATTCTTTTGCTTCCAGTGGCTCAGGCATTGTGGCCCGAGACATCTGAGGCAGCTTTTTTTTTCCTATTAGGAACAATGAAATCTTCTAGGTTCTATGTCATTGTTGGTATCCTTTCTATAACCCTTACCCTGGATTTCTACCCCAGAATCCCACAGTCTCAATAACCAAGCCGGCACACTTTCTCCAGGCTTCTGCCAAAATCGCTGTACTAAATCCATTAATTCTATTGCTGTGTATGGCCGGGCTGTTACATGTAAATGAGTCTGGGCAGGGGGCCACTGATCAGGTGACACCCCTGCCAGTCTGCCCTGTACTTTTTTTGTTTTCTGAGTTATGACAGGACGGACTTCTAATGGATCTGTCGAAATCGGATACTTGAGATCTAATTCGGATTTTTTATTTTCCTGATCAATGAAGCCTGTTGATTCAGGAGCCTGATCATTGTTTATTGAGCTGTTATGAACTTGACCTATTGGAAGATGTAGAATTGGTTTCTTCCCTGTTAATATGCCAAGTTCCTGCTCTAGTTTTTCAATACGGTCTTTCAAAAGTTGATTTTCATTCTCTAAAGTATTATCTCTTATTTCAGCACAATTTAAGGCACTTAATAGTGGCCATGCCACTGTGGAGGCAACCAACTGTCTTTCTTTAGTGATCAGTACATCCTTGCTAAGTCTCTGAAAGTAATCTGCCATGCGATATGGGGAGATATTTCCCATAACATATAAGGGATCCC